ATTTGATCAGCTTCGCGTCGTTCGGGAAATGTTCTCTATGATTAGATTGAAAAAAATTGGATGCGTGTCCATAAAGTTTTCCGGAGAAAAATATCAGGTTCTCGATGTATTAATCAGTTAACGTCGATCGAAAAATATAATCGCATGAAGGGAATGATATATTATTAGGCCGAAATGTTTTATTGTGTTTTCCGCTTGATTCGCTGAAAATACGCTCGTTATGAAAAATTACTTATAATGAGTTACAAAAGAGCAGAGCTTATTACAGCGTAAGTTCCAACAAAATTGTTTCACATCCATTAACGTACCGTAAATGTTGAATAAATATTGTTTCGAATTTTATTGATCTTTGTTTGGTGAAGTTGGCATATACGAAATTACTGAAGCTTCGCTGGTTCCATTATACGAACGAGCGAGCAGTTGAGAATTAGCATTATTTCCGATTCTTCTGCAGGAAAAATTAAAATTTTTCGTATGCGCTGATACTCGATTGATATGCCCAGTCAACCGGGTATTTTCCACCGAAAAATCCACTCTCTATGCAAAATCAGCAAATTCGCTTATTAATTCGCTCGGTTTTCGAAACAGATATAAGTATAGGTACACAAAGAGAGAGGTACTGCATGAGTCTTCGGTTTCGGTTTAAGTGTGAGAAAGTTCAGATGTTTAAAATCGATATTAAACTTCGCCTCTTGCACTAATTACGAAAACACCAGCTGAAATTACAGGATAATTTTGTCATTGAAAACATTAATCCGACACTACTGAAAGGAAAGAAGAAGCGGATCAATTTTACAAGCAAATAAAAACGAGTTCGTGCGAAATGTAATATACTTACTAAGTCTACATGAAAGAAAAACTAATGGATGTTATAAAAAATGATGAAGAGAAGATATTATAGTCTCATTCCGGCATTTAGAGTATATTCGTTAAATATGGTACACGGTAAAACCATCTCAGTTTCAAGCTGACTCGTATCTTTGAGTGGATTAACCATCTAACATTAAACCGAAAAGCAAAGCAAAGCATTCGCATTCTTCGTCAAAACAGCTTTCCTGCTTCGGGGAACGTACGCGGTGGTAAATAGACGAACAGGCAGGTTGCACGTGATTATTTTAGAATACGGAAGGTAAATTTATGTGTCGTTTACAGGATTTGCCGGATTTCGAAACAACCAGGTTTTAAGGCGGTGTTTTCTTTGCGGTTGTGGAATTATAAACCCACTTGGTGGTAATCAGCTAGACGTACAGTTGATGTGGAAATTCATTGGAAATCGAATAAAAGTTTGAAGTAATTGGAGCAGAATAAAGTTACAAAATTTCTTCGATAATTTATCATGAAGGAGGTTTTTTTCGTGATGCTGATAAATTAAATCAATTCCATAGAGGAAGACCAATTTTAAAAATTTCAAATACTCGAAAGATAAAAGGAACACTTATTATTAACGGCGTAGATGCTGCGTTTTCCGGAAAATCGTGTAGGATAAAGTCACGTACGATATACAATGACAGTTTAATATCGACGGAACTACAATATCAGGTTGATGTGATAGGAATAAAATTGTACTTTTTTATTAATACTTTTTTTAATTGTATATGTATAGGTATGTGCCTGTAGAAAATAGAAGATGTGAACAGAAAATATCGAAACAATAAATCCAAAAACTAAATCCGAATAATCAAAAAGGTAGGAAGTTATCAACCATCATTTCCAAAAACTTTTTCAAACCAATTAATGTAAATGAATTCAACATGAAAAGAGAAATATTCCAGATAATTCTGAATAATACAAAAGGAAATTTACGAAGGACTTACTTAGGAAGTATTAAACAGGCCATTTCAGGTAATTAGTGACTTAACAATGGTAGAAATGGAATTTGTGGATTTTCAAAGGGTTTTAGAACAAAAGCAGAAATTTCTATTTACGATTTCTCAGTACTTGCCTATAAACTTTTTAGCATTATGTATTCGCCATCTCAATTTGCTCTACTATTTCTTAAAGACAATGTCTGATTACTTACTATAATTAGCAAGTGCTTACTTAAATTGATCTCTTAATAACAGTGGTTTAATATTTATTACAGTGTTTAAATTTCAGACTGCAAACTTATTGAAATATTTTAAGCATTTAAATACATTTTATGGGAGTAAGTTAGTTAGATACACTCAATTCAAACACATTGCTACCTTAAAGTGTGCACGTAAAGTCTACTGATTCTGTTTAAACAAACTTATTGTCTATATAATACTCTGGCATTCAACTACCTGTCTAAAGTTTGGAAGTTCAACTAACTTGCAAGAGGACCTACCTCCATATTTATATTCTCTAAACACTCTGAAGATATACTAAACTTAGGCTATTAACTGTTTTAACTCATTATTATCAATAACGCTATGATGCGGTAGACTTAAGACAATGTTATATCTATAAACCGTCAGTTTATTTTAACTCGTAATTCGTCGTCTCTGATGTTATGAACTCACATTATGTAGCTATTTCAATTAATACTAAATTGTTAAAATTGTTGTAGAATCGTTATTAATAATTAGTTATTATTAATCGTTATTAAAAAAACAAAACCAAATAAAAAACACAAAAAACACAAAATTAAAACAGATTTTGATTATTTTAACTACCTCTACAGGCGCGCAGTATATACTTATTCACGACTAAAACTTATATCCCCCGGCTAGAGATAGTCGTGAACTCTAATTGAATGTTAGGTAAGTACGAATATAGGCTGCTGAAACTCATAAATGAAGTTGAAACTGGAAATGCCCTGAAGGTATAATTTTAATAGGGGTTTTCTATAATAAATTGAAACGAAAGCCAACTTGTTAGCTCTGTGCTAATTTTGTAGTAAAATTATGAAACAAATACATCATTTTCAATTAGGAGAATAAATTGTCCATTAGCGGTCATTAATTTTGGTTGAATATGAAATGGTTATTGCTCATTACATAATGAACATTCATTTCATTATAAAGTAATATCTGCAAATATTAAATAAAATATTTTTGTCATAATTTCAATATATTTTCCGGATAATTTCAGCAACAATCACTAACAATACAAATTATCTGGTCTAAATATTTTAAGAAAAACACTAATTATTCATCGTTCCCAACAAATTATTGTAGATAGATACTAATAAATTTTATGATAAATAAAAATTATATATTATGTAAGTATTTTTTTTAAATCATTACCATATATTTTCATAAATAAATAATTTTGCCGATTACTACATTTTAATAAAAATAATTTGCTCATGGCTATAGAATTAGAATGTGATTAAATTTAACAAATTTTATCGACTACACATTCAAAATAAATCAACCCTTTGAAACTCACGAAATCGACGTTCACGTTGTTTGTAAAACAATGGAAATGGCTGTTTTTGGGTAATGTAAATAATCAATTGTTCCGCGGTTTGAATCGTAAACGCGATTTTTATTTATTTTCGTATTAGGACAACAAAATTGTGCAAATGACTTTCGACATTTGTACAAACGAGCTTATAACTGCCGGACTCAAAAATCGATCATTCATAATCATTCGTAACAATTTTGTACCTACCATATAAATAATGATTTTGATGAATCTTTTATGTGCCATGTGTTTAAATATTGCTACGATTACAAACGTGGAAAAAATACTGATTAGATAACTAATCAGTTTAAAGCAGGGTCCACATTTGCTATGTAGCACTGCGATATAGCAAAGCTATACAACATGTTACTACCTTTTTAACTATTTTTCGCAAATTTTTCTGCTATATAACTTGCTAGATGTTATCCACTTTCAGTCGATAAAGATCAAAAGATGCTAGTCAACATTGATACTGTAACATAAACCAACGCGTCCACACTTGCAATATTTGTTTCTTAACTTCCCATATCTTAAGGGTCGCGCGCGGGCAGATGAAAATAGTGGTGTAGTGAGCTTGCTTATGCTAAATTTATAATATGGACGTATCCGGGTTTTTTTAACATCTAGCAAGTAACATGTTATTAAATGTGGACCCTCCTTTATATAGTAGAGAATTGACGATAAGCGGTTAATTTCTATTGTATAATAGCTGGAAATGCACACAATATGGGTTTCGAGTCAAAGTCGATGTCTGTTACATATTCCTCTGTAATTCGATACATTTTAAAATTCGATTTGGATATGTCTCTTACAGAAATGTAAGGGTTGGAATTCGATACCTTCAATTTAGTAGGAACCGTGACAGGAAATTTACGAAATCATTAAACTGTGGAGCAACAGTTAATTTAAAATATTCAGTGGAACTTTCGCTGCAGATACTCTGAATATACTTATAAAATTAAAATATAAAATTAAATAATCACCAATAATAGTATAATATATTTTATCGTCGATAAAATATAATGGCTGATATAAGATGAAGCGTTGATTTTTGGAGGCGCAATGGAAATACTTGGTGATTGCAATATGTTCATTTTCTGATTATAAATTTAAATTTTGACAGTCACTGCAATTATTCTCCCCAAGTAAGTCCTCAGTAAGTTAATTCACAGAATGGTTTGCTCAAAGTAATATTAATTAAAATTAAAGAAGACTGAAATTAAATTAAATACTTTAAAACCACAGCAATCATTTTCATTTTCCCGGTATACATAAAATGGTATTAACCTATTTGCAAATGTAAATTCGCATTGATTTATAAGAATGGTTTTTGCCAATCTTCCATAATATTCTACTTATGCTAAAATTTGCATAGAAATACAATTGCAGATATTTACTCTAATATTTTGAATGAAAATGGATAAGGTCTCCCTGCTTAACATAATTTTTTATTAATAACTAATATGGAATAAATTTTTCACCAAGCTTCAAAGCATTTACAAAACTTTTTTCAACCTGAAATTTTTTAGACTTTCGTTCCCATACATATTTTTAAATTTCGCCGTCCGGAAAATATTTATTTACCTCCGAAAAAAAAATAAAATTTAAAAACTTTTCTATTTACAAACCTTTTTTTCTAACAAATCCGCGTAACTGAAGTTACCAAACAATCACCGGGAAAGTAAACATTCCATACGCACTCAAAAACTCCGAAACACGCCGAACTTTCGAAAATATCTCAGCGAACGAACCGTCGGCGTCGGTCTCGGTTCGACCTCCCGCGTCCTTCCTAATGCCCTATTGACAAAACGTGCTTTTCCAAAGCTCGGATGCAATAAGACAGAAACGACGGCCGGTTCGAGCGTCGCGTCGCTACTGATGATGATGGTCTCGGACGCGGCGATCGGATGTAGAGGGCGCACGCGTTCCGTACTCCTGCGAAGGACATCTTTTCGAGATTTAGGGGCCTAACGGCTCCTATGTCTGATTATGGGGCTCATGCTTTTATATCGCATCTATCCGAATTTGGTAGTAATTTGTCTGGGTGTTTCAAAATCCCGGAATTAATAGATGTAATTCATTAGGAGCATTATAAAATCATTGCAAACTTTAAGTGACATTTCGCTATTTAAATGCCATATTGATGCACATTAAAATAGCATAATAATTTATATTATACATGCTGCGTGTATTGAACATTATTATATTTGATAATACTTTTATAGTTTAAAATTATCTCTATACATTTTATATTTTAGGTACCTACTTTGTACTAGGCAGGTCGTAAATGCACTCGTGAATTGTATAACTTTTTGTGGATATAAAGTGACCAGACAAAGCCGATTATATTCACAGACCTTTCGCAATGACCGAACCTTTCGGAAGAGCCCCAAAGAAACGAACTTCGCGAACTTTACCGAGTTGCAACTTGAAAAGTTGAATAGAAGGCACTTTTATTTGTTTTGTATCCGTTCCGCGAACTTTAAAGTGAAACTTCTATATACTATTTCAATTAGGGAATCGCGAAGGTCCGGGCAAAAGAGCGCGAACAAAGCGCAACTACAATTGCTTGTCTTGTTTATGTAAGATACCTACATAAATACACAATTTGTTAGGGAAATAAAAAATTTATCATGTTAAAAATTTTCCGCAGAGATGTACTAAACAAATATTAGATAAAATAAATCTTTATCCACGGGCTCAAAGGAATTTGCCCTTCACTTATTTTTCGTGCATTATCTACTAGATTTCACCCTACCTACATTTTACTGAGGATCAACAATAAACCTAAATGGTATGCACATTTCCTTAATGTTACCTTTAGGTTTTTTTGGAGTATTCTTTACCGAAATTCCGGTCTTTTCCGCCGCAAACAATTGAGAAAAACAACTGCCTCCAATTTATTTGCTCGAATCTGAGCATCACGTTGGCGTATAAAACACGTTTTTATTTCGAATTTCTGCCGCACATCCTCGTGTGGTTGATCATCAATCAAAAACCTTTTATTTATTGCAAATGTCAAGTCACCCGGCGGTCGGTTTGCATGACTGGATATGCCGTATCTAAATTGTTCGTTTATTCTATGGGAAAATTCATAAAATAAATTTTCAACGTGTTTGCTCCTATTTACCTAAAGGTCGGAAATTTATATTGACACTGTTTTACAACTTTAAAAATAACACATTTTACTTCTTTTGGCTTTAATCCATTGCGAGGCACGACTCTTGAACCAATGTTGACATCTTTTCTTTCCAATTTTATGTGAATGCCGCCTCCTTTTAGCATTCTAGGAACGTTTTATTTTTGTGACAAAACGCCTTCGTATGCACTCTTTCTGCGATCCGCAGAAACTCCAAATAAAAGGAAAACCTCCGAGCTACCGGGAAATTTTCTTTTATGTTTCGAAAGGAAATTTTAGTTATTTCTATTTGCATTACTTCGAAATGAAACCAAAACAAAACAGATGAGATACGCTTAAAAGAGAAATGTACAGAGAAATTTACAGTTAAAGTGCCTATTTCTTCAAAAAATTATAATAATAAAATATTGAAAATAATTTTAGTTAGGTTCGTATACAGCAGTTGTTTTCAAATATTCCGAACATAATCGACTCGAATTTAAAAGGAGTCCCACAGAGCAAAAACACGAATTCCTCCCAACCGGAGAAATCCAATTTGTACTTTACTATAACGCAACAAAACACGAAAACTACGTGTCATAATTTTCCTGCAAAGCAAAGCGCCCGCCCTCAATAATAGATTAGAACCCCGCGGATAGCGCTTCCTTCTGGAGCTTGTATTTCTCTCATTCAATTATTAAAATTAAGGTCTAATGGAGAACGAATTCTGATAACAAAGCGACCATCTCCTTATTTATTCATCCTGATGTAATTCCGAGGGTCCTGGACAGGTGGTCGAGGTATTCTACACTTGGACAGAAATTTCAAAAATAAAAATTACATGTTTCCATAAAAAAATGATTAAATGTTTTAAATTGGTTAATTTGGGTTGAATAATGACATTATTGACTAATAATATTCGACGAATAAGAATATAATAGTAGAAAAAAATATATGGTACTATCTTAAAAAATAATTGCTATAGGGAGAATCAAAAACATTACCAAATAATTAATTAATGCTAATAATAAATATTACAATAATGTAGGTATTATACGTACTTTCAGATTATACTGTGATTTCTGTCCCTCCTATTTCGCCTTTCTAGTAACCGGTGTAATCTCGATTCTGTAACCCCTAGTAGGTACTCCAAAATTGAATTTATTAATTAAAATTATTTTATTCATACTTATTTTTCAACGGAACGAGAATATTAATTAAGTTGGTTAGGAGATAATTTACGATTATCACTTTGCGGTCTTTCAATAAATTTTCGTCTCTCCCAGGTATTCGCAATATAATTTATTGATATACTGATGTGAGGGTAAAACAGAAATATGCTGTTAAAAAATTCAATTTTTCCCATACACTCCGAAACCGTATTTACTCGATAGGTGAAAATTCGATCAACATTCCACCGTTGCCGACAAATAATGTTGTTTTGGGATGACCATCACGCAACGAATCGAATTACAATCGAACTTTCCGGCTCCGGTAACGTAAATAAAACTACAAATTCGACAAAAAAGAGAGGACGAACGAAAGCGCTCCGACTGCCCGACGGTCGACATTTTTAATTATAATCGAAAAAAACGATTGAATAGTAATTTTCCGGCGATCATTAGAGCATTCGAAAGCGGAGGTGCGGAAATGCCCCATCCAAAAACCAATGTTGAAACTTTAGCGACGGAAGGAGTGAAATATCGAGTTCGAAATGGGCGGTGGGGCCGTTAGAAGAAGAATTGTGACCGGCATAGGCGTACGTACTAATTCAGAAATTATCGCCTATACTCACGAATTTCAAATGGGAAATACAAATTAGTACAGGTGAAATGCGTCAATGCCGATTAAACAAAACCGATATTACTAAACCGATACGACTGAATTCATGCTGCGGCTGCATAATAGACCATTATGATGAAAGTTGGAGAACTTCGAAATTCCGAGGATGGCATTCTCCCTTTCATTGTGACCTTAATATTAATTCGAATAATGTGAGTACTAAGTTGGGCATCGTTAGAATTTTTGGGCGTACATATATCCTACATGTCCCTCTTTAAATACCCACATACGTTTGCTTCTTTAAAATAAAGGAGTTTCTGAAGTGTGTTGTAAAAACGAAAAATAAATCCAAATGGGTATGACTACCACTAACGGCGTATGAAGAGATTTCTGCAATAAACTTAGTAATAAACCAAGCTCTGTAATAAAGAAAGCTTGTTGGTTTTTACTGTTGAGTTTTTCTTAATGTATTTTTTATACCGTGTTTCGCCATATTTAATAGGTAAAAATTGTGGAAGGAAAAAAAGAAAGAATAAGAATAATCGAATGAAAAATGCGCCTACGTTTATAAAAACATCCTAAACGAGGATGGATAAGGCTATTTAAGTTTATTCGCAATCATATTCGTAATACTCCTTTGCGAGCTTTTATAAAGTTGGGAAACACGCTATTATATTGACATTACCTCCCGCTTAGCTGGGAAATAGGTGCTTCCCGAACACCACACATCACATTGATAAACCGCAATAATTAATTACTTTCCCTCTTGTTATAGTTGTTATCTATTAATGTGTCATTTTAGTCAGTTAAATCAAAATAATTTACACATAAACTACACTGATTGTGATTAAAAGCTCTGTCTCGAGCTAAAGCTCAACTCCGTAAACTATCTTCCTGCATGACGGTAACGAGACTTTTCTTACCTTGGTAAGTAATCTACTATTAATGCTAGTGTGAATTTGATAAGCAGCTAAATATCGAATAAATTTCCCCATCGTCATTGAAATGCTATTTTCAGCTTGATAAACTCAATTTGAATCTAAAGCATGGAAAATATGAGAAAATTGAAATTCCTGATAACTTTCATTAATGAAATCGGGGATCGGCGTTATTAGTGTCGAAGAATAGCGTCACCTGCAGTTTCTAGCGGATTAAATTACCTGAAAATAGGGTCATTTTCGTTAAGCTCGTTTAGCTTGATGACCCAAAAAGTAATAATTGTTATGTTTATATAGCAATATCGGTACGTGCTGAACGTGCATGAATTTATTATAAAATATTAAATAGATATTGTGTAGCATTAAATAGTTGCAATATTTTCTGTAGCGCAAGAGAAGTAACAAACATATGTATTGTCACTAAAGGATAAAGGTCCTTCATAAATTCAACTAAGATAAAGTATAAATGGGAATGGAAAAAACATTTTCTTACTTCAAAAACAAATATAGAATAGATTATTCGAGATATTCCCTAAGAATATTGGAGGAAACGAAACGAACCAATGGACACTCGGAATTGTTCTTATTTTTCGTTCGGCAATTTAAAAAGTTTCTCGTCTGGTTTACACGAATACGAACCAAAAACCGATTCGAGACAATCGTAAAATATATCGAGCAATTTAACAGTCCAGCCCGACTTTGGAACAATTCACTACATCAGTTCAGCTCGTTGCGTTTTTCTTTGCGCACAAAAATAGAAAAAATGGTTAAATAGATGTCCGTTTGACGCCGGTACAAGAAATAGATTTATTTATATGGGAGAAATTGCATCGTTTATATTCTTTAATGGATTGTAGACAGGTGCATTCTTAGATACCTTGAAGCATTCTATTTTTGTAAATATGAGTTTACAAAATTTCTTTAAATTTTAAATTAAGGATCATTAATAGAAAAGAATGCCTATTTTTTTGTTTCATGGATTAATTTGAATTTATAAGTGTGACTAAACTGTTTCCAGAACTTTAATAAATTCAACTTACCTACATCAAAATTCCCGAGAAATTCCTTTTGTTCATCGAACTTTAAAAAAGAGTTTGATCAAAAATGGCAGCAGCCGCTTTAAAAGTTGCTTAAAGTTTGTTTTAAAACTTCCTTGATCAATTTCAGAGTTGCACAGACTTCCTCTCTAACCGCCACAACAAATGTACAGACACAAAATTGCTTTAGATTTAAAAAAGGAATCTAAATAATTTCGCTCTAGCAAACATAATCGGGTAAATAAAAATTTAGTTCCACTTTGTAAGAAAGAGCTTTAATTATCTCACTTTCCTTCTACCGTACCGTTCCTGAGAGCTTTGTGAGTAGGAATCAAAGGTTTTTAGTTAATCGGCGAAGGTCTCCGTAACACATGAAAGACATAATTAAATTTTTTATTCGTTTTTTATAAATCCCGTGCACCCTGCGGGTTCTATTCAGCGACTCAAAAATTTCATCTACTGATGCGCGAAAATTGCTTTGAAATACATCTTGATTACATCTCTTCAACTGAACGAAATTAATGCATGTAAGACTGCATAAATTACAAAATATTGTTGTAGATACTTCGAGCAATTCTTACCTTAGTAATTATTATGAATAGAAATATTACGACAATAAAGAATTTACAAAGTTTGCGAAACTGAATCGAAAATTAATTATTCACGCTGAAAATACATTATACGCTCGTCCCGTCGTCGTTTCCACGGACCGAGTTTGACGTTAAATTTTAATAACTCTTCCCAACAGAAATTGCTAAAATTAATATACCGATTCGTTTATTTATTCATCTTGACAAATTAGACAAGTCTAGCTGAAAATCCCGTTTATACACAACCTTTTAATCAAAATAAACAATTTTCACGAAATCCTCAACTCCAAAATAGTTAAATGGGCAGATGTTTATAGTATTTACAGTGTAAAACGGTTTAATTTGAGAATTAATAACCTTGTGAAAACTTTTTCAAATTAATTTCCACCTCGTATACATACCGCATTTAAGCAGTTAAAAGGACGAATAAAGCCGCTCCTTATAGTTCTCTTGATATAACAGTGTGTTTAGTAGGGGAATAGTGAATTGTGCGGGATCTCCTAGGGTTCCCCCGATCAAATGGACGTGACAATGTGGCAGTAACACACTTCCTAAGTCCTACAATAGGGCCGAACCGAGCCATTTATACATGTCCATCAGGAAGATTGACTTGCGGAAACACATGTGAAAGATAGCGGTGAACTTTCTGACGAAAGCACTTAGGCCTTTCGTTCTTATTGTCGGGACGGTGTCCCCTTTATAGGAACGTTGTACTCGGGGAGTTAATGTTTTCGATGCCGGTTCCTACTCGAATCAAAGCCGTTTGAATTAGGCGGTAAAAGCATTTTTTTCTTTTCGCGATGGGCTCACGAATAAGGGATTAAATCTGTTTTCTCGGTGTAAGTAACGTAAACAGGGACTACACAATTTATAAAATTATTCGTCACGTAAGATGTTGTTGAAACGCTGCCAAAAACGGAAGCAAAATGCCATCCCGGGGAACTTCCCGTCTTATGTTTAAGATATTTACGTCTACTATTCGTTTCCGAACAAAATTTATTATATACGAAAACTGTCGTTAACAAATTGTTTATTCTCTTTGGAATGCAACCGAATGGCTTTTCTTACCATTTTTAATTTAAACCTGTGTCAATATAATTCAAAAGAAAAAATGAACTGTAATAAACTCAAGCATAAGCTGATTTTTTAACACTTAATAGAACCAATTAAAATCTAAAATGTCCCAAGGGTAGATTTCAATAGTAGTTACCTAAGAGACTCGATAATTACGAAATAATTTTAATTAATCCGCAAGGGCAGTAATCAAGCAAAGCGTTTGAGACATTCATTATGAGAATAAATAATATAAATGAAGAAATATAAAAAAATGAGAACTATTTAATAACTTTTGGGATTAGGTACTTCAAACAAATCTATAATTTATTAGTATAAATGTTTTCATAAATTTTCCATATGTCGGTGGTTATTTTATCAGTGTATAATGTCGATGGGAATTTATTATACCTGCTCGAAATTTTATTCATGGAGATTCGATATAACTATTAGAACAAATGTTGTCTAGAGTAACACAAGCCACTTCCTCGCTCCATTCATTAAAGCTTAAACAGGATAGAAGAAATTAATTTACTTGGGATATCAATTACGAAAGTGGTTTCGAAGATAAAAACAATAAAAGCTGACAAATCCTGCAAGAGGAAAACAAGCTTCCGAAAAAATATATAAAAGATATCAGTTTACAAACGTTGTAAAAGGAAGTGAAAATAAAGCAGCAGGAAGAATATATCCTAGCTGTTTATAAATACAATAAAGTTTCATAAAATTCAAAGCGCTCCTTTTCGCACATCTCGGTGTTTTTTTTTCATACTGCGTCAATAAACCAAAAGAAAATAAAATTAAAGCAATACCTACATACTTCTCTGAACTCTATGTATTATATGTATGGTACGCTGCCTATATGTGTAGTTACATCAAAACACACGAATATACATAGTTATATGCAGCAGGACATTTTGAAACCAGGCATTTTAGCAGTAACCGCGTTTGTGGTCATCCTGCAGGCAACGAAAATGGAGAGATCATAATATTAACTAATCCTCGGAAATTTCAGATTATATGTCTCTCTCTTCCTAGTCGTTGGAAACATCAGAGACCCGTTAAACAGGGAATTTGAGGTAATTTAATGAAATTTCATGTAGGTAGGTATAGGTTGGATTTTTTTACAGGCTAATAATATCTTATTACTTTAATTAATTTTTTCTACTTCCACTATAACCAATTAGGACTATTTACCTTTATATTAAAGCAATGTCACTATAAAAATTCCCTTAGTTCGTACGTATATATCGTAAAGATTACGTTTTGTCGTCGTTATCTCAAAACTTTTCCTGTTGGATTACTTCTTTTTCTAATGTTCGTTATCGCTGAATGAAAAACTAGATGTTCTGTTAAATGCGTAAAAACAAAGGCGACATCAGCATCTCCCGGATAGCGGTAATTGCCTTTTCAATTTTAACTCGAGACAATTGTTTTCTTTCGGATGTTTGAATGGCCTCGTTTACAAGACTTACAAACTAAAAAACAGAGGGAACTCGAGGCGGCCTAGCTATGAGAGTCGACGTCGCTTAATTAAATAAATTTTCCCTAATTTTACTGTGAAGAAGCGTTAAGTAAACTTAAGTCGAAGTTCAAACCTATAGGGAGCCTTCAACCTGAGTTAAGTTTTAAAGTTTTAACCCAATATATTCCAAATAATATGAAAATTAATTTAAACTATTTTGATATCACTCAGTTATATAGTAATACTGTCAACTTATCGAAATCATTTCCTGGTATTAGTAGTCTGCATCAAATCAATTCTGTCAAAAATGGTAGAATAACAATTACTAACATACTGATTCAGCGACACACCTATTTAGAATACTTTATGCGATTTTTTCTTCACCTCTTTAGAGGTTGCCGGTGATGGCAATACTCAAAGGAAATCTTTGAAGTTTTCACAGAAGCGATTCGTCGCCGACGAGGAAAAAATAGAATAGCAGAAGCAGTACAAATGCGCCTGAATAATAACGCATTCGAAAATTTATGATAGCAATAAAGCATAATGAAGAAGCTTTGAGGTATGACGGGAATGAACATTTATGGCACTTTCGTTAGGGGATTCATCTTGCTCGGCCGTTAAGTATTCGAGAAAAATGCAAAGTACGTTCTCCTTTAGACGATATACGTATTTGTTGTTTGTAGTTAAGTCGTCGATGCGTCCCTTATATTACAAAAAGGAAAGAAAAGTCGCAGCTTTTAAGGTATTATGTGTATACCTACATACTTAATTTGACTAAAACAAAGCTCTACATTTTGAATAGATTTTATAAAAATCATTTTTGTCTTAATAAACTATATGCTATTCATTTCATTACTAAAATACTTGTAAATAGTTTATTTTAAACATAATACAAACATTCTGCATTTTAAAAAACCTACCCATAAATCTTTGGGGTAAATAACATTTAGTAGGTACATTCATAAGTAAACATTTTGTAGTTAATTTAATTTGTAATTGAATTGCTTTATGCTAATTGATTTTAAGATTTATAAGCAACATTCACTACTTAAATAAATTAATTTTAATTGACATTCATGATGGACAATACATAGCCGCGTAACAAAACGGCGCTAATTCTTCTCCGTTCTTCACGAGATCAATTATTATATTTACTGCTTCGTTCAAAACCTTTTCGCAAATTTCGTTTTTCTCCTGATCGGTGCTTATAACGCATAAGAGTTCGACTAAATCATGTAGAACCTAGAAAAAATATAAGTTTTTCTACAACTGCACATTATCACATTATTTCAAAATATTTCGAAATAATCAATTTCTATTAGGTATTTATAATTTATAATATTATAATTTCACTCTAGTATAGATTACCTGACTTTTGCCCTCTTTTATTAATTTTTCTACTTCTGTGGTTAAGGCTCGACAAATTTCACAAGGAAACATTTTAATTTCCCTAAAATTTAACATTTTAACAAAATTCAAAACTTTAATAATCTATTGATGAAATTTATTTGTTTTCATTTTGCAACTTGTTAACTTACCGAGTATTTGACAAGGAGGGTATATAAGAAGCTTCCCACATGCCTGAAATTCGGAAAAAATAACAATTATTTAAAGATACTGTCCAAAGATTACAATAAGTTTATTTTTTATGATTTAATTACGGTTTATTCAATGTTCTTAATAATATTTCATGGCCTCGTAAACATAATGAAAATAGAGCGAAAGTAATTCCTGGGTAATTTTAAGAAGCATTTTAAAATTTCGAGTGCCTAAATATTTACTTTCGGTGTAATCAGATGTTTTGTCACGTTTTTCATTAGGTATTTTAAAATGGATGATTTCAATTCATTTCGATTTTTCGAATTATCGAGCAATTCAATTGCATTACACGTAATTGGTAGTAATCTAAAAAAATCTGCTCATATCTGCCCTTTCTTTATTCTCTTTCTCTACGGCCTTTCAGTGTGACCCAGCTTCCCCATTATCCTTACAATAAATAATTCAATTAAATTATAATAAATTCAATACGTCGGTTTACTCTAATTCAATCGCGACGGCCTTTCAGTGGAACGTTTTAAATTCATTAAAATTCACGTAATGGGTTTTGCACGTTAAAGAGTCCCCGTGCCACTGGCATATCTCTAACGAGATAATGATCGAAAGAGACGACGCCGCCGTCGAACTGACCGCGTCGGGTTCACGAGACCTTAATTCGACCGAAGGTCCGAGGCTCGTCCTTACATTATATCAGATTTCTGGCCTCTAATCACAAACCGCCGCTTATCATCTTCCTGTCTCTAATTTGTCGGACCACACCGGAGACGGACAGGAAATTGATTCACTTAAACGGCTTTTTGGAGGTGCTTCCGAATGAAATTTTACATTTCTAATAAACTCAATTCAGCAAATCTGCTTATTGAGGTATACATATACATACATACCTATGAATATGATTTAAATAAATTTATAAAGATTGAATACTTACTAAAATATTGCAAAGTTAAGAGAACTACGATTAATTTCATTTTGTATCAGTTTTGTTGTGTACAAGAATTTTATGATGAATCAATTCTTCAATTCAAAACTAAGCAAAATCTGCTAAAACAGGTATAAATACAAGGATTACTTTGCTTATCTCTATGGAATTTATCAATATTTTTATTGACAATATATGTCGGTAATCATTTTGTCTGACACAATTAATTAACAAATGGCTGTAATAATATTATATCTGTTTTATTATACACACATACTCGACCATAAAAACAACTATATCCTTAGTAACATGTAATAAAGTAATTTTTAAGCTTCATGAACCATTAATTGTAATGAACGACGGAAGAAATAATTAGAATAATCAATTAATCTACTATGATGACAATGATCAGATTTGTCGCTTTTAAAATCTCAAGAGGTTTTTAATTGTAGAAATTACGAAAAGTGATTGACTTAGGGAAAGAATATCTTAATTTATCAATGATTATTTTAATTTTCCAAAACACTTTGCACGTACTAAAAGTATACATTTTGATTAACACAATGAATAAACCAGACTTATCAAACTACAAGTATAAATTTCAAGATTCATATCCATTGAATTTTGTAAATTTTATGCTAATTTAGTATAACATATCCCTGAAAAAACATTTTCTTCCAAGTCTACATTCATCCATTAAAAAAACAAGGCACATTATTTGCAATATTTCATAAATTCACCCGAAGGAACGTTTAATAACAAGAAAATAAGAATTTCAAATAAATAAAACCTTCAGCAATTACCGAACAATTTCTTATTAATCACCCGCTTTGTTTTCGGCAAGCTTTGGTACAGCGAATTTCATTCTTTCTGAATCGGATAATGACTAGGTGAAATTAAGAAAGAAAAACCCTCGGGAGAGTATTTGGTTTGGGCACTTATTATTCGTTCTGTGTTCCATCCCATTCTATGCTTGTGTTCCCAAAATTACAAAACGACTGAAAAAGACCAACAAGAAACTTTTCCGAATTGTAGCACGCCGAAGAATGCAGCAATTTTTTTCCTTTAAAGGAGTGATTTTTAATTTAGATACATGCAGAGAATATCGTACCAAAGATCAACTTCATTATTTAAATTAGAGCATGTTAAAGTTGATTAAACTAAAGCATACACACACTTTGTTCTCCTATTTTAATTAATTAAATATATTTTGAAATTCCTGTAGGTATACAAATCCTTGTCAAATTTTTCTAATCTACTAAACTATATCTGTCTCGGACCCATAGTCAGTTAATCCAATAAAACGGGCTAAATAAATCAATTAACTGTTTCCACCCGGAACGTAAAACTTCACCAACTCAACCGGCCTTGTTTGTACATCTCTATAAATCACCATTGAAATTAAATAGCGATTAATCAGCTAAATAAATTATTACATTGCGCTCTTGTGGACTAACACTACGGTCCCCGAGGACGCGGGCATAATTGAGAGAGTCCTTTGTGCGGCCTGAAGTCCAGAATCAATCTCTATAAATCATTGATATCGGCTTTGGAACCGCCGCATGCAAGATGACGATGAGAGCGCACACCGGCGATCTCTGATGTACGATTTGAACTTTCAGTGGGAATACAAGTGTAATTGCGCTCGTGGTCAGAAGCCGGACAAGGAACAGATCGTAAATTTTTCACTAATCTCTATTGCCATACCGAGTGCAGCTATTAGTTTGACTCAAGCTTAAATAAAGCAAAAACGTAGTCCTAAGTAGGTACAATCGGATAGGAAAGTATTTTCTCGGTTTCGCTTTAATTACAATCCGGCCTTTAATTTTTTTCCTCCTTGCCTCATCCTGCGAAATGTGTTTAAAGATGCAGGAGAGCGGAAAGCGTGAATAAAGATCTCCAACGCTGAAATCCTACTAGCGTTTCACGTCAGGATATCCCAAACTCCTTACCGGAGCTAAACTCTTCAGTGCCGTCGCAAACGACTCAAACAATTTTTTACTTCGAATTCCTAACAAACCTCACAACACCTTCCCTTATCTCTTAGGTGTAGTAAGAAATTAATTGCTTCCTAAAAGTTTTAAAGTTAAATTAGAAGTGTTGGTAGGTCACTTGCACATACATACCTATGTGTTTACATAAAGTTCCATCTTTTTTATTACTACTAATCCTGTCATAGTAGTGTTCTTAACGAATATTTCCGAATGCTTCTGTGTGAACGTCAATGATCCATGCCTATCTGGAAATCCTCTTAAGCTTAGCGGACCTGAATATTGGGAACAGAAACCGTCTCTGAATGGGACGTTGACGTCGTAGTAATGCTTCAGTTCATCAGGATCAAGACTATTTTCTTATTACGTTTGTTATTACCTCAAGCTTCTTTTGCAACTTTTTATTTTCATTTTCCTGATGTCAATATGGATGATATTTACTGCTGAAAAGCACGAATCAATGTAACAATTAACAATTTTCGCGCTATTCCTCTTTAATTAATTATGTTTGAAATAGGAGTAAAATTCAAAGAGAAGTTGGAAATGTGAAACATGTAATGAATCCTCGAAATTAACGAAGCTCTTCTCTTTGTAAGGCTTCGTCATTAAGATGTGCGCGGAATGTAAAATGGGATTTTTCATTTCGTTCGGTCTCGAATACGAATACATAGGAACCTCCAAGTGAGAGTTTCGTGATTACAAGGAAAAGTTATTGCTGTTATTTTATAATCTTCAATCAAAATCTTTCAGTACATTCTGATAATATTTTATTTACACTTAATTTACTTATTTAATTCGCAATTCTTCATTAAAAGCCTTCTTTTATTGTGATCTAAATCACTTGTAAAGTTGCAAAAGAGAAAAAGGAATAATCACTTTGAATGGATTCAAATGAAAAGTTCCATTATTCTCCGTGGTTCCAATGGTAGAAGTTCCGGCCCATTGTTAAAAATTAGTCGCCGACTCGAGCGCGAAAAAGTTTCATTCCAAATAAAATTTTCCACTCTCACTTCGCCCAGGTAAAAATTTCAAATTTTTCCTGATTTTGAAAAGTTGACGGAGCGTTGCTAAAATTAATTATTGAGACTTTGAATCCCAACAATTTTTAACTTAATGCAACAAAGAAGCACTGATAATATTGTAACCTTGTTTTTGAAGTTGATTGGTGAATTTTACGAATTTAAAATATGGTAACGGAATTAAAACAAAGCGTGAATTTAAGCTTCTAAATTTAATGTTACTTACTTAAGAGGATTTTCGTAAGAAGATTATTTTGAATGTGGCTCGAGCGAGTGTCGAAATTTCATGGGATGAATATTGCTGAAATTTTCTCCAGGCCAAGGGATATACATATTTGTGGATAATAAATTTTTCACAAGTGCATGCAAGTTATTTTTCGAAGCGAAAAAACAATTCCCGAGCAAATTAAACCAGCGAGCAATTACGAGTTTTCATATATTTTTTCATTGTACTGAGTTTATTTAATTTGAGTTATTTAATGACCATTTTTATGAAGAGTCGTCCCGCAGAGACTCAGCCATTTTTATTATCAAAATAAATTGAAAGAAGTCATCAACCACTTTACCTCCCCCAGATTTTACCTTTAGCAAATTGAATTTCTTTGTGAATACGCAGAGAACGAGCTCCAATATTGCAGAGGAGGGTTATTTGGACACACACACACACACAACTTTCCCGGGAATGTCTGAATTGATGTGAATATTTAAAGCTTAGAATTGGCAATATATTTCTATACTGGATCCCTATGGAATAGCGACTTTTGGCGCTACAAGGCGTCGAAAGTGTTGAAAAGAAACTTGATACAGAATTAGATTAAGAAATTTTGATTCGACATGACGAAACATCCGATTTGCGGTCGTTGATAACTAGTTCTTATTCGACAGCCTTATTGAAATTTATATATTTTTGTAAAATGTAGATAGGCCAATAAGAAGTCATATACTCGTAGAACAATACATGTGTTTCCCATTATTCAAATTCATACATTAGGATGTATACGTAGACAGAGGAATAATTAAAATTAATAAATAATGTAAAAAATAATGAGCATGCAATATTGTTTAGCCAGGTGTTGTTACAGATAAGCGTAATAGTACAAACAGCAGGTGCGTAATTATGTTGTATAATATGTTCCAACATAATTTCATCGATTAAGAATATACATATATGTAGTAGATACATACTTACTACACTTCTTAACCTAACCTTTCAATCTTTGAATCCCATTAAAATTTTTGTAGAACTTAAATAGTAGCCATCAACAAGAGCTACATACATAAAAATGCATAATACCTTTATCATGAATGGTTTCTTTGAATTTTCTATTGTAAGAAGGTACCTAATGCGTATTATAGTCACTAAAGTATGGATAATATTTCAATTATAATCTTTTTCCACATTTTGTATATCGCTATTGACCCGGTTTATGTTTACCTCATTAAAGTCATTCTTATCGTAAATTCATATGTCATTCTATCCCTACATTAATTAATATGCTAATTGAATTTAAATCAGATAAGCTATTGCTACTAAATTAGCATCGTGTATCCATAATATTGTTATATGTTTATTAAGGTCAAAAAACTATTGAAAGTATGTATATTGTGTAGGATGACAACCTTAATGCAGACGAATTTTGTTGTACAGTATAAACTTTTTAGTCCTGTGCCTGTCTCTAAAAGAAAACGAACAGATTTGAAAAACAGATTTTCCACATAATTATAAAGCATTATAAGCGGTAAAAGAATTCAAAATTATTTTATACTTACATAATTATAAACAGCTGAAAATATTGCAGAAAAACTGTTAATTATTAATTAATATTCACACACTGTTATACCTAATAACATGAAATTTTGGAAAAGCGTAATTTCAAATGGAATTAATAATTAAGTTGTTTTTGTATGTATTTTTTACCAAATAAAATTGATTGCACTATAACGAATATGTAAACATTAAAAATATTCCTTGCGTTCAAAATTAATCATACTGAAATCTAACGTAAATATGCATGTTTAATCAATTTTGAAATTCAATTAATCGTATAGACTAATGAATATTCTAATTATATCGACACATGCATTGTGAATATACAAAAACACAACACCTTTATAAATATTTAATCATTCTTATTTTGTATTTTACTTTTTACTTGTAAAAATTTACTTCGAACGTCAGTAAGCTTCATCATGTTTGGAAAGGCAAAAGAAAACGTATCAATTCCAAAATTTTTTGAAAATAAAAGTGTTCTAATAACTGGAGGTACAGGTTTCATTGGCAGATTATTACTGGAGAAATTGCTGAGGTCTTGTCAAAAAATTGACAAGATTTACGTGGTTATAAGACCGAAGAAAGGCAAAAGCGTACAGGAAAGAATCCAAGAAAACATTAATATACCTGTGAGATAAATAAATTGCAAGCCTATTCAATAGGCAATTAATTAATAAGATACATTTTTATTTCAGATATTCGATAAATTACGAGAAGAACAACCCGAGCAGCTCAATAAAATAATTCCTCTCGCTGGAGACACGGAAAAACTAGGATTAGGTAATTAGCTTATCAGAAGTTTAGTCTAAGTAATACTAAGTAATACTCCTGGTTGAATCTTATAGCAAAACAATTTTTCCTTTTAATCATTTTCTTAAATTCTTATGTAGGTCTCAGTGAAGAAGATCGAAAAACCGTTATAGAAAATGTAAGTATAGTTTTCCACAACGCTGCTTCGGTTCGTTTCGACGACCATCTAAAAAAAGCAGTAATTAGTAATACGAGGGCGGCAAGAGAAATCGTTTTGTTAGCCAGACAACTCAAGAAGATAGACGTTTTAGTCGATACATCGACGGCTTATTGTAATTCTGATAACTTGATAGTGCAAGAAAAGCTGTATCCAGCGAAGATTCATTGGAGCGATCTCGTGAAGATCGCAGAAGAAGGTAATGTAATTGGATTTATTTGGGTAACACACATATTCTGTAAATATTTGGATATTTTTCGTTTTTTTAGGAGATGAAAGGTTATTGGAAGTGGTGGCTCATAAAATTATACAACCATTGCCTAACACGTACACATTTTCCAAAGCAGCAGCCGAGCACGCTGTAGTGGAATTGAGTAAAGGAAAAATTCCTGCTGTTATAGTTCGACCAACAATAAGTAAATGATTTATTCAATTAAAATTTCCAGCATATATTCGTAATTTGCAAAGCTGGTTTTATATTAATAATTACTCTTCTACAATATTTCTATTACCTACGACTACTAATAATATTGGTTATTTATTTTAGTTCAACCAACTTATTCAGATCCAATTCCAGGTTGGGTGGATAATATAAATGGCTCTGTTGGAATGATGTATGGAATGGGCAGAGGTAAATCATAATATGGTCAATGAATAAATAAAGATTCCTGTGCATTGCTTTTACGTTTTAGGTATACTAAGATCGGTTTACGGAGACACGAATGCTGTTTTCGATCACGTATTTGCTGATAGTGTGATTAAGTCCTTAATTATATCTGCATGGAGAACAGCTTTGGCGTAAGTTCTCACGTTGGCATTGTTTCATATTCAGTGTGTATTCCAATCCTGTGTGTTACCTAATAATCCTTCATTCCTTTAATATCCTGAGGTATACGAGGTGTTTATTATCTTTTGATATACAATTGTGATATTATTTATCGTTTTAGGAAAGATCTCAACAATGTGCCAATTTACAACATTGCTTCCGATTTGAATTATAAATCGTCAGATTTGTTCGTTCTTGGCAATGAGTACTCCAGAAAGTTTCCTCTTAAATATTATATCTGGCCAGCGAAACCACGTCTTTATGAAAACTACTACGTATTCTTGTTTTTTGCATTGCTAAACCACATTTTACCCGCATTAATAGTGGACTCTGTTCTCTGGATAACAGGAAGGAAACCAATGTACTTAAGTAGCTCATAACACAGGGTGTCTCAGCTAACTATACGATGAATCTTGGTCAAATTTTGATGAGAAGGTTTCGCGTTTAACTATTGCTTATACTATTGAGAAGTTAACAGAACTGGGAGGGGTTAACGTTATAGTTGTTGCATACTTAAACATGGATTTCGAGTCGAGAAACCCGATTCCGAAGGTTAACTGGAGTTTATTGAAAAGTTAACTTTTGGTTATCGCAGAGTCGAGAAACCGGGAATTAGTGGCATAGTTATCTGAAACCGACATATTACATATTTATCCCTGTTTATTACTACTTAAATGCGTCTATTATTTTTAGGTTGTACACAATCCAACGGAAAGTTTTTCTAGCTAATACTTGTCTGATACATTTTATGACGAACTCTTGGAACTTTGTACATAACAATTATTTAGATTTAATGGATAGCATTTTACCCGATGATAAAAAAGATTTTACCGTTGATCATTTCGGCAAAACTCCTCATCAGTCGAAAAAAAATCATTATATATTTAACATATATTTTCAGGGGATCAGAAAATATGTAGCAAAGGACGCTGATGCTGATGAACATGATGTAAGAAAAAGAAACAGGTAAGTATAATTTTATATTGTTGTGATGCATAAGTGATTTAATCTCCTCAATTTTAGACTGATCTTTGTGGAAAGGATTTGGAAACTAATGTGGTTAATAATATTTCTGAGATATTTGATACCAAAATTGATTCTTCTATTCGATAACATAATGATTTATATTGAAAATTTATAATAGAATTATCATTTAATATCTAAGCAATTATTAAATATTACCTTTTCTGTCGTTTTCTTTAAATTTCTGTAGTTAATAATTAGTTTCTGCAGTTATTCAATATTTATTTTATACTTTCTTATTAGTTGGAACGTTTTGTAATAAATCTATTTTACAATCCAGTTTATTGAATTTTATCTAACCAATAAAAACAAACCTAATAAAATTAATCTATTTTTGTTTTAAATTTGATATAATCTAGATAACATCCTGTACTTAAAGTATTATTAAAGCATTATTATTGTAAATATTATCTACTCGAGATTGTTATTCGCAAAAAATAAACGAAAATTATATGTACCTAGTCTTAAAATAACATCGTACTGGGTATTTACTCAAACATGTCACTGACATCAACAAATTTCAACAATGGTATTTTGAAAGAGAACAAACCTCGAGTTGGCAGTAATAAAACGTCTGTTTGGGAATAAACCATGAAATTACATGCAATACCGCTGTGGCAAAGAGCGTATTAATTATAGTAGAATCGACTCGTGAGTGTAATTGAACAAATTCTATTAAGCACTCTGCCAGTTACTCAATATTAGTCGTTTAATTTAGCACGGTCCTTCTTTAATTATTCAGTTCATTTAAATTCGGTTAGGTAAAAGCGAAATTGATAATTGTTAGTAGACAATTTTCTCAGACTATCCATCACTCCCTAGTGCTATAAAACTGCCAAACTAATATTTATTGTTTACACTTTGAAATATAAAACTAGAAAGATCTTATAGGAAAAGAGTAAAGTCATCGAACATGAATCAAAACTTTCTGATCGTTGCTTTCATCAATGTATTTATTTACATTATCACATATCTACTTCACCAAGTATTATACGAGTAAAATATGTATGTAATGTATATCTGATTTGGTTACTGAGAGTAGGTAGTTTAAACGAGTTTAAATTTAAATTAATTGATTTATCTATTAAATTAAACTGTTATTGAAAAAATAAACTAACTGAAATGCTATAGTAAGGTGCTCCAAATTCTAATGAAAATCTTCACTGCGGAGCAGCCCTCTTGTACTCCCGCAAACTGAAACTGGAGAGCCTTCTATTAATTTTCTACGGCCATTATGAAAATCGAGATCAACCTAATTTTCCGGTGCGTGAGTGGCGAATTTCATTATGGGAGAGGAAGAAGGAAAGGAGACTTGATGGCGTTTATTGGAGCTAAAACGCTTGGAAAAATAGTGACGGCCCAAGATCGAAAACGCACAAAGATATATGAACCTATGATTTCCCAAAAGTTTCAATAATTAACTCGATTATTTTTCCACTCAATGTTTGGTAATAACAGATTACAATTCAGTTATGAAACTAGTAGGAAAATGAAATACAGTCGTTATTTTTTTAAATGACTTATTAATACATTATGAAGCTTGAACTATGAATTTCTATATCTAACGCTTCTTATAAAATTTTAGTAGTTCTGCTCCAAATTTTGTGAATATTAAACTGGTTAAATTTTACAACCCTTCGAAACCCTTAAACTATTTAGGTCGTTATTTTGTAATTTCGTTGAATATTCAATATCGTGAAATAATTCCTTTATGACCCAATGAGCCTTGTTAAAATCCGTTAAGCAGGCATTTAACATAAATATTTCATTGAATTGTTCATCCTGTAAATCGATTTATGCATGCTAGAATGTACAAGTAAAATACCAATTTTTATGCAAAGAAATTGCTTATAAAAAACTTCTGAATATCCATTATCGTATTATATGTCGTAGATTTAGTATGTATGTATGAATGTATGTATGTATCCATTCAACTAGTACCTATATAACTTTGAAGTATTGACTTCAATTTATCCAGTTCAACTATAACATTAATTTTATGCTAAGCGCATTTTTCCTGCACTGTAGACGTCAACGTTCCAATTGTGCCTATTAATAAATTTGAATAGTGCAAAATGATTAACGTACAAAGAAAATTTTCGAGCAATAGTTGCTTATAACCGTTTGCGTAGGGCTAACTATTGTCAATTAACATAATTTATCATATTCCTTTGTGCTGCAGGAATTTATTAGAAAGTGAAAAGTTGATCTAAACTATTTCCATATTAACTACATGATGTTTCGGACGAACAGGGAAAACGTTTCGATACCGAAATTCTTCGAAAAGAAGAACGTTTTACTCACCGGAGCTACCGGATTTATAGGTAGAGTTTTAGTGGAAAAACTGTTAAGATCATGTCCTGATGTTAATACAATTTATGTGTTGTTGAGACCTAAAAAAGGCAAGTGTGTTCAAGAAAGAATTAAGGATATTGTAGATATACCTGTAAGTATAATTTTTCTATGTATTTAATTCAGTGAATGTTCGGCGTAGGTACTTAGAATTTTTAATTTTCTTTCTAATTTCTAATAATTTCTGGTAAATTTTCGATAAATTCTTTTCAATTTCATATTTCCAAATATTCCAGATTTTTGATAGACTGCGGAAAGAAAACCCCAAAGCTCTAGAAAAAATTGTGGCCTTGAGTGGCAACGTAGAAGCGGAAGGATTAGGTGAAATTTCTGAATAACTAATTGTGCTTCCGTGTTAATTACCGTCGCATTCGCAGGTCTTAGTGAAGAGGACAGAAAGACGATTATAGAAAACGTGAATATAATCTTCCACAATGCAGCTTCCGTTCGCTTCGACGATCACTTGAAAAAGGCTGTCTTTGCTAACACAAGATCTGCGCGTGAGATGGTTATGTTAGCGAGACGAGTAAAAAAAATCGAGGTTTTAACGTACACATCGACTGCTTACGCTAACTGCAATAAGCTCACCATCGACGAAAAGCTTTATCCGCCTCAAATCCAGTGGGAAGACCTCATACGGATCGCCGAAGAAGGTATTCCTTGTTTCATTGAAGAAACGATCGCCCGTTGATTAATTGCTTCTTTGTTATGAATACTTATTTGTTCTAGGTGATGAATTGCTACTGGAAAAATTAACTCAAAAATTTATAGGAGACATGCCAAACACATACACTTTTACAAAAGGAGTTGCCGAACATGCTGTAGCAGATTTATGTAAAGGGAAATTTCCTTCTGTAATTGTCCGACCAACAATAGGTAACATAACTTAGACATATGCAAAAAAATAGTTACTTTTCAACACAGTTTATAAGTTTCTAATTCCTTATGCACAGGCCTAAAATTGAGCAGCTCACATCCGTTTGCATATAGTAGTACAAACAGAATAATTAAGTAACTTTTATTTACCATGTGATTTCTATTCATATCCATTAATACTTAGTTTTTAGTCGAATTTGAAAAAGTAAAAATGGAATTACCTACTGAATATTCCCAACGTCGTTAACACTACATGAAACCACAATCATTTTTATGCAAATAAGCTTGGGAAGCACTGCAAACAAACACAATAATTAGGTTAAAATTCATTCTAAGGTAAAGGTCAAATTATAATTCCAGGTTTCCCAAGTTTTAATTGCGTATTGTCACATAACGTAAAAGAGTAAACGTTATTTGATATAATTCATCAGAACGAATTTGTATTCCTGTAGTTTTTTAAGAGATATTAGATTTCTTTAGGAAATATCATGAATGCATTTTACATATTTGTTTTTCAGTACAACCATCGTTTTCTGATCCAATTCCGGGTTGGGCAGATAACTTGAATGGCCCAGTAGGGATTATGTATGGTGTTGGAAGAGGTGACAAAAATATTAAAAATGCACAATATTTGCATTAAATTTAATTGGTATTGTAGGTGTAACGAGGGCAATTTACGGAGATATAAATGTTGTGTACGATTATGCTTTTGTTGACAGCGTAGTAAAAGCTTTAATAATATCCTCGTGGAAAGCCGCGTTAGCGTAAGTTTCACTCAATATTATCACTTAATATTATCCCTTAATTTTATTTTAAATATTTATAATAACATCTGTTTATGTTCAGACGAGATGTCGAAAATATTTCAATTTACAACATTGCTGCCGACTTGAATTATCCACTGAGAGATCTTGTTCGTATTGGACTGTACTACAAGGACGTGAATCCTCTTAAACAGTGTCTTTGGCCTGCTAATCCACAAATATATTCAAACTATCATTTATTTTTTCTAATGACCCTCATAAAACATTTCCTTCCTGCTATATTAATCGATACGACGTTGAAGATATTGCAAAGGAAACCACTGTAAGTGTAACTTTTATTTACATGTATTTTCCTTTTTTTTACTTTAAAAGATTAAATTTTACATCTATTAAATTGGAATTATTATCATTTTCATTCAACTTGCTTTGTAGCAGCATTGTTGGGGTTTAATATTGCTATTTTTGATTTTAGACTGTACACTATCCAAAGAAAAGCTTTGATTTCTAACACATGTCTGATATATTTCATGAGGAATTCTTGGACGTTTTTACATACAAATTACCATGTATTAATTAAATGCATATTACCAGAAGACGCCGAACAATTTTCCATAACTCATTACGGTTCCAATCCAAGCGAAAAAATAAAAAACGACTTTTTATTTAACACGTATCTTAAGGGGTTAAGGAAATACGTAGCAAAAGATCCCGATGCCTCCGAAGCAGATATTATAAAGCAAAAATGGTAAGCGCAGTTTTCGTTGATTTGTTTAGAATATTTTTTGACTAATTAAATTTTTAGGTTAATACGAATATCAAACGCCTGGAAATTCATGTGGAAAATGGTAGCATTGTATTATCTAATTCAATTACTAGTATATACAATGGAAAAAGTATTTGCTGATGCATAAAATAATTATGTATTTAGTAAAATAGATAATTATTCGAACATAGCGTTGTTTTTATTTTGGTGCACAATTTTAAGTAATGTCTTAAAGAATTACATGCAAATTATATGCATATTTAGAAACATGATTCTACATGAAATAACCCGAACAACGAGATTTTAAGTTCTAGGTTCACTGATGCCTAGTCGTAAACTTATTTAAGAATTTACTTGCATCGAGAGCTAATTTAAAGGAGACAAAGTTTGCGAATCTCTAGCGATCTATGTAGGTAGCTAAATTTAACTACAGTAAGTTTTCCTTTGTATATTCAATTTTCCAAATGAATGTAGAATATTCTTCAAGTTTTCTCTTGGAGTTTTCCTCTTAGAAAATAATAGATTTTTTTATATAAGATAAAGAATCACCTTGTAGATTTTTAAACTTTTTTGTAACAATTCCCGCTCCTTTTCTCGTTCTTCTTTCAACCGATAACCATAAAAAGGGCGAATGCCGAACTTCCAAACGTATAAAAGCAAGCCGAAAGTTTCGTACAATAAAAAAAAGAACCTTAACGATTACCGAAACAACTTTTTCACGGTCCAATTGCTTCTATACATTTAAAATGCAAGTTAACTTCATTCCGCCGGAGCGGATCGATACCGAAGAGTTCCAACTTCTTCCTTCGCTGGTAACCAAAAAAGGGGAATTTAACAGACTTCAAATTACGCCGAAATACTCGCGGAGTGTCTGGCAAACAAGCGGAATTTACTGCCGGCAGATAATCGAGATGAGTGCGAAAGGAAACGCAAGAGGAATCCAGTGCTTTCACGTTAAATTCAAAATAATTTAAACTTTTATTGTCTATTGATCTATAAACATTACGCACTTTTTGGGTCAATAAAAGATATCACGTATAATGGAGCATGTTCTAATCGTGTTATGTGTTATTCAAATTTCCAACAAACATCGGAAAACTTAAATTTTCAATATTCAATACAAACAAGTCTTAAATAGAAGTTACAACCGTTGTAAAGCTAGAACTTCGGTTGACAAATAAAACGACCGTCGGGATCTAGACAAGACTGTTCCATTGCATTTCACTTCATGCCATTTAAGGCACTAGCCGTCCGGGGAACGAATATCCTCAGTCCTGAATTAATGCATGAAAGCTCACGGGAATTCGCCTGAATATATATCACCGGGTGCAGCTTAGAAGTCGAGGAGGTTTTGTTGCACCATTTTGATTCGCATTTTCCGTCAATATATACTTCACATTGACAACAGATCAATTGGAATTGATATAAGGTGAAAGAATCCTTTAACGTCGGAACAAAAAGATTACAAACAATTTGCAATTCAGATGGTAAGAATAAATAAAGTTGCATATTTCCTAGTTGAAGACGTGGAATTAAAAAGTGTAATTCCAGTTAATTATAGTGATTCGGTTATGTTGGTTGAATAGCAGCATTCATGAGGTCGAATGTAAATTTTCAGGCATATTTCACACGTTATCAGATCGGCTGGATGAGAGATAACGCTCGAAGGGTTATAATTTCAAAAGAATTGCGTTGTTTTGAATTTTGCCGATACTGCCTAGATAACGTAGGAAATTTCGTTGGATGTCAGCTATACCATTCGATGGAATTTAAAATGCTTTCCAGAACTTCGTTAAAACTTTCGTACTCTTTAATTCAAGAAAATGGCTCCTCTAATGAATAGGCACTACTGGTAGGGCTCCAAATTTTTTTCATTTCAACCGATATTTAGCCGTCCACAGGTGTATAATTCCCTCTTATCTATTTCGACGATGTATCGATCATTCGTTAGCCAATGCAAGATTCTTTAATGCTCCTTTCCCTTCTTATTTTCCGGTCCTTCTGCTGTTGGAGCAGTAATGGATAAACCACTGTTTTCCTTAACGTTCTGTCGGTTAACCGTTGTTCCCTAGGGCAAACTGCTAGTCCGTTGGGGTTTTTAGTAACGCCTCCTAAGGGACCACTGAGGGATATATATATAAAGTTGAATGTCTACGTTTTATTGTTTTATTTGCGGCTGAAGATTTTTTTTGAAATACAAAATTGTTAATTGATCTTTAATTATACATTCGTATCATTTATTTCACGGAGTTTATGTTTATTTATGGGTCTCTTTTCATCTGCGAGAACGTGTTTTAGTTACAGTACAATAAAAGAAACATTTATTCAAAAATTCACGGACTTTTACTTTACCCAGGATCGCATTATGAACTATGTATGAAGCGCACCCGAGTTGTAGTTTTTCTCTCTAACAACGTGAACTACTTACTCGCGACTCGAAAATCACGGACGGACCTAGTAAATAAATTCCCAGTACATATAGTACACGAGGTTAAAATTATCATGGGCCATCACTTTCAGAGAGCCATATTTTTACGCTGAAATACTGCGGAAAAGTTTCGCTACCTAACTGTTTATTTATACATGAAAGCAGCGGCGTAGGCGCTTAATTATTCAGTTATTATAGAGGTTTAACATCATCTTTATCGTAGCATCTTGATCACGAATACACAATGATTATCCTCAATAATTTAGTAGATTATAAAGGTACGTTGGTAATATTTACATTTAATTTTTAATATCCCTGCAACACTATTGAATATCTACTCCATTCCACCCAATTTTATCTCGATCTGCTGTAATTTCAGTTGATGCGAGCATTAATAATGATTGAAGTTGAAATAATTAAAATCGCAATTACCACATACATTTATAGCTAGGATAATATTCGTGCACAAAATAAATAAAAAAATGGCTCGTTAAACGAACAAAGAAGAACGCATGGGAATATTTATGGTTGAAATCCAAAAATTGCGGCGGTCTTCACCGTTGAATATTAGATTTTCGAGTTTGGATCCCGATAAATTCTTAACCTTTTGTCATCAAGACCTTTTACGTCCATTTTATGTCCGTAGAGAAACGGCGAATGGCAAATCTGAGTCGAGGAAAATCGAAATCAATCTATATTCATATTTTTACGTTCAGGGACGGAGAAAACGCCGAATGAAGTTTTTGAAAGGAAATTGGTTTACCTACTAGTGCTAGAAATTTGATTCGAGTCGAGTCGTTTCCATAACGACATACATAGGAACAACTTGTCGATACTTCAATTAAAAGACCTTTAAATAATTAATTTTTAATAGAACTATCTACATTAATTACTTAATACTTTAATAATAAACAAATTATTACTACAATAGGTGTCTTATACTCATACATACTAATGTATAGATATAATTGTCGCTTTGTAACTAAATTTGAATAGATGTAAGTTTCTTTGTAAACTACGTAATTACTACTGCAAATATGTAATTACTAAACTTAAGGGTTCTCTTAGTATGTATATGTGCATTGTATACGCCTAATTAATACATACATTTGTGTTGCAGAGAGCAATTCGCTTCATTATTAGATCTATTCTAAGATATATTCCATGTACGTATGTCAATAACGGAATTAATAATCCTAGTATTCCTATTGAGCACGATTTGCTTGAAACTTCAACTTGGAAAACAAATAGTAAATGCATTGCAAAGGGAATCTGTAAGGTGAACGAACACGTCTATCGATTATTGAATAAATATCTATAAGAACAATATTTCTTGTCGAGGGAAATGAAAATCCGGCGGGCATTTTAATTTGAAATCCTTTTTTTTTACGACGCATACTAAAAAGATCCAGCGACAACGTGATGCTTACCTTTGTCGTTTTAGCAAAAGAAAAGAAATATCGGAGGCATAAAATCCTATTGAATAGAAGTTTTTATGATGGGAAACGCATCAATAAGACAGCACGTGAATGTATAAAAAGAGTTTATACTAACATTAACTCAATAAGAGGAACACTAAAAGAAGAGGCAAAAAACGAAAGTTCTCGTTTTAACATGCCAAGGATGCAGTGAATATAAAATTTTCGAAATAAAAGCTTGCGAATCTTTTTCCGTTGGTCTTTTTATTGATTTTAATATTTAAAACTGAAATTTTATTCTCGTTTGCTATTGTTCTCCTCCTGGTAATATCGTAACAATGCTTTGGAAAATTATCTATTATTTATTTATCATGCAGAGAGTTGCAATCCTATTTTGTTAATGCTAGATATTTATGAATTATTGGCAGAGAGTGCAGGGACATTAGTAAATACTATCCGTTAAACATTAGATACTAATTTGGTAATCCATTACTGATGGATAATAATCTGGGTTTTTCATTTATACCAAAAAGTAATAATACACCCATTAAGAATTCCCACAATATACTTTTTTCACCTTTTTCATTAAAAAACACATCAGTGTATTTATTTAGCATGCGGCTGTTTAGATTATTCCCACAATTTTTGGACCCATCCATTTTTCCGCCTTTGAAATTTTTAACCCTTTTAAATATAATATTTATTTACATTTGTGTCGAAATAATATTTACTTATATTTGAATTTAAATGTTGAAGCGTTAAAGCAGCTCACAAATGCAATATCATCCACTTACCTTGTATTTCCATGTCATATAGGACAGTCATTGCTCCTTTCTTAATATTCCGAGCACAGAGGCGTACTTAAATTATTTTTTTATTACACAGCATTTTTCATATTACTTTATTACTCCGACTCCACAGAAACGGAGACATAATAAACCTTCTATACGAGTAGGAGAGGTACTTAAAACAGGCGTTGCTTTAATTAAAGAAATAAACACAAGTAAAGTAACATACTAACTGCAAATTATGCTCTCAATCGAAATTGTTATTAAAGTCATTACTCCAGCAACTTATTTATTTGAAATATACCAAGTTAGGTAAACAATGTACCTAATTGAAGTTACAGCCTTATCGATTAGAATTTGCCGATATATTTGAACTATTTGCGCTACGTCAATGCCCGAGCGGCACGCGATATCAAGTTACAAAACGTTTCGCGAATTTCCCAGACGAGAGAAATTTCGAAGAGAGAAAGCGTGCGTGAAATCTCGTAATAAAAACATCCGAGTGTGATGGTAAGGATGAAAAGCATTCCAGATGCACGATAGAGTAGGGAAATGCGTTACAAG